TTTCTTTTATTTTGTACTATGACCGTATTGGAAATGTAGTTCTCAAAACTATTGTAACCAATTAACTATCTATATAATCTCTCTATTTACCAAAAAAAGAAAAAAAAAAGGAAAAAAAACAAGGTTAATAAAGTTTAGTGACGTGGGTGTTACATTTTAAAAAGTTGGTGACCCAAATTCACAAGCCAAAAAGGTCAGTCACTTTGCGTAAGCTTTACCCTGATTGACGGTGATGATTCCTTGATAGCTCCCACTCTTCAATCACGCCGATGACGATCCAACATCACTCACCACGATAGAAGCTTCCACGAGCAGCATACAATAGTCTCCGTCTCACCGGAATTGCTTCGTCGCTTTCCAAATTCCACCCGAATGCCGCCCTGGAAAAAGGGCAAGGTGACCATCTTATCCAATTATGCAGATTTTGGTTTTTTGATCAACGGTCAAGATTGAGTGACACGGCATCATGGTACCATTGGACCACACCATAGGAGCCTGACGTGGTCCTGTCAACAACTTTCTTCAGTCAGAGAAGTTGGTATAAACGTCCAGACTTAGACAAACCCCAACGGAGAAGAAAGAAAGAGAGAAAGAAAGAAATTAAGCAGAAGCTGCACAGGGGCTCTCTCAAAGAACAAAAAGAAGAGATTTTGAGGTGAGTTTCTCCCTAATTTTCATATGTCTTCTGAGATTCCAGAAGATTAAGGTTTTCTTTTTTGTAATTGGGTCCGTGGAATATTGATCTGTTTAGATTCTTGAATTGGATAGCTGAAATTCTCCTAACCCAACTCAAAGTTTTCATTTTTTTTTTTCCCAGTATTTAATTGAGTGTGGTTTGTGTTTTGTTCAGTCTATTTATTTGTTCAGAAATGTTTTCTACTTCAACTTCCTCGTGGTTTATTATTTGATATGTTACTTTTCAACCATACCTAACATCTCAATCTAAGATATTTATTTATTTTTAATATAAAGGGATATCATAAAAAAGGTAAACTTGGTTTTGGATTTCTCTTTGATTGCTCAATCACGAAGTCAAAACCTTTGTGTCTTCTCTCCAAGGCCTGCTGTTAGGCTTATCTTCATCTGGGTATCTGCTGAATTCAAGGACTTGAGTTTTAGAAACCATATCTGCCTCTTGAGACCCTTCCTGTGTTTCAGGTAGACAGGAATTTTGTTCTGATTATTTTCATCCACTTCTGTTCTTATCATGGAAAAGTATTAAGCTTTGGATGTTTTGTGTAAATGATCTGTTCTTGATTATTTTCTCTTTAATCTCCTCTGCTTGATCTCTTTGATTGTTGTACTTACTGTGATAAAAAACAATCTTGTCTTTTGTTTACTTCAGCAAAGTCTAATTTAATCAGGACCTGGGAATTTGGCATGGAAATTAAGGTCTATGTTAAATTTTCTTTGTTAAATGATTTATGGTTATGACAATCTTCTTGATCTAGTGTGTCGCAATAATTTATGGAGATGGATCTTTTTGCCTTAAGAAATGCATTTAATCAAATGTGAACTGCACTTTCAGCAACATAGTTGTTTTGAGCTTCTATTTTGTCTGTGATCAATTAGGTTAATGCTCTGTTAACCTTGTTTTTGTCCAGGCAAAAGTCAATCAAGAACTTTCGTTGTTTGTATACCTTTAGAGTATAAATACTTGTTAAATGCTCCTTATCTTTAGCCGTTGTTTTTTTGCCTGAATTTGTCTATGGTCTATGCCAGATCTATGCCTGTAACTTGGCATAGACCTTAGAGAATTGAAGGGGTGAATCTTTCTCGCCTCCATGCTTAGGCCTGCAGTACTGCTTTACTCATGAGTTTCATCATGCATGGACTTCCCCATCAAATTCCATTTTCTCAATCACTCTTTAGTATTCACTTGCACAGATTTGAATAAGTAATTTTGAATTCCTGATCATTTGCAATATTGAGAGGAGAGGTACTTTTCCTATCTTCTTATTGAATAGACAGTGAATCTTCTCCATTCTTACACGGAGCATTCTGTTTCCTGCTACCCGGTGTCTGTTTTCCTGTGATCCCTTGTTCCAAACTCTTGTATTTTACCATAAGCTTTTGCAGTTTTTCAACTGGTTTTTAATAGATGGGAAAATTTTACATTTATATCTTGCAACTATTTTCTTTGATGGTTTACTAGCCTCTGGATAATTAGTTACATCTCAGTACCTCTATTTCCTAGCTTTGAGAATCTGATATTGATTACTGCTATAACTTCCTGTATGACATTTGTTGGCACAGGACTAGTTCTATGATACAACATCCACCTTGTAAGCTGGGAGAGTTAGAAACCATGTCTTTAGTTAGATCTGCAGAACCATCTTCTGCAACATACAGAAACCCTAAGCTCTATTCACTGAAGGGTAGCGGTGATGGTGCTGTCTTGTCCACTCCGGTATTTGGCCCTCATAACCATAAGCCGATGTATATGGTTGATACATACTGCAGTGAGAGCTACGAAAAGTACTTTCTTGACTCACCAACCGAAGAGCTAATACATCCAGCTAATTCTGGGACCTCAGGTAATTTATTTTAGTCACAAGATGCCTCTTATTACCAGCTAAGAGGTGGTTCAGGTTTCTCTATGACCAGTCAAGACCAATTCAATTCTTATTTTTAGCTAATGTGACATCCTGATGGGTATTAATCCAATTTTGAATCAGATTCCTTGGAAAATCAAAGCCCAGAAACATCAGACGACACTGATGATACCGTGAGACTGAAGCTTCAAGAACTGGAGAGAGCATTGCTTGATGATAATGATGTTGATGAATATGATATGTTTGGTGCTGATCTAAGCATGGAAATAGATGGTGCGTGGTCCAACCGGATCCAGAGAGAGTTGCTTCATGATTCACCCAAGGAGTCTACATCCTCAGATTCTAACCTTAGTAGCATTACCAGCAACAAAGAAGTATCGCATGTATCACCTCGGACTCCTAAGCAAATGCTTATTGATTGTGCAGCTGCACTGTCAGAAGGAAATATTGAGGAAGCCTCAACCACAATAAATGATCTCCGACAAATGGTCTCAATTCAAGGAGATCCCTCTGAAAGAATTGCAGCCTATATGGTGGAAGGCCTTGCAGCTCGCATGGCTTCGTCCGGAAAGTATCTATATAAAGCTCTAAAGTGCAAAGAGCCTCCTTCTTCTGATAGGCTTGCAGCTATGCAGATACTCTTTGAGATTTGCCCTTGCTTTAAATTTGGATTCATATCAGCAAATGGAGCAATTATAGATGCTTTAAAGGGTGAAAAGAGAGTGCATATAATAGATTTTGACATCAATCAGGGCAATCAATATATTGCACTGATACAAACACTTGCTAATCAGCCTGGCGAGGCACCCCACCTGAGGTTAACTGGTATTGATGACCCTGAGTCAATTCAACGTCCAATAGGGGGTCTTGAAATGGTTGGACTAAGGCTCGAGAAACTAGCAGAAATACTTGGGGTGTCATTTGAGTTTCAAGCAGTGCCATCAAGAAGTTCAATGGTCACTCCATCAATGCTGGACTGTAGGGCTGGCGAAGCACTAATTGTAAACTTTGCTTTCCAACTTCACCACATGCCTGACGAGAGTGTTTCAACAATAAATCAGCGAGATCAGCTTCTGCGGATGGTTAAGAGCCTGAATCCAAAACTGGTGACAGTTGTTGAACAAGATGTGAACGCCAACACATCCCCCTTTTTCCCAAGATTTATTGAAGCCTACGAGTACTATTCTGCTGTCTTCGAGTCACTGGATGCAACTCTGCCAAGGGAGAGTCAGGACAGGATGAATGTTGAGAAGCAGTGTCTGGCAAGGGACATAGTTAACATTGTTGCTTGTGAGGGGGAAGAAAGAATAGAGCGTTACGAGGTAGCTGGAAAGTGGAGGGCAAGGATGATGATGGCTGGCTTCAAATCATGTCCTATGAGTTCAAATGTGATTGACATGATCCGGGAACTTATAAAGCAATACTCTGACCGGTACACACTAAAGGAGGAATTTGGCACACTCCATTTTGGTTGGGAAGACAAAAGCTTGATTGTTTCTTCAGCATGGAGGTAGAAGAGTGAGGTTAGCTTAGGTGTACTGCATGGTTATTGTAACAATAGTTTTGTGTGGTATCACTTATCAGGATTCATGCTAGTATGTTGTTTAGGACCTTTTTTTATTTTATTTTTCTCAAATTACAGGGATTGCTAATTGTCTAACAATCTTAAATAGTGTCTCTAGTTAATTGTTTTGGACATACTTGTAAAATCTCATGGGTTGCTAGTGCAGGGTTGTATTGCTGTGATCTGCAGGTTAATGCTGTCGACTGCCCCACATAAATGCATACTAACTACTAAGCTTTGCGGAAATAATTTACAGGAAAACCGTCACTTCTCTTATAAAAATTCGAAAAGCAAAAAGAAATAATTTGACCTTACTACTATTATTATAAATTTGATATTTTGTAATTTGAATTATATTAAATTATGAATTTTTTTGGTTGAATTAAATTTAAAAAGGCCCAAATGTAACTAGGGCCCAAATATAACAGAAAGGCTCATTAGTATTTTCATTAATAAGTTAATAAATATCATTTGTTCATTAATAAATATTATTTGAGTTGAGACCAATTCATTCATACATATTTGCTAGTAAGTGGGTTCATTGGGATGATTGGAACCTTGATGAATACTTTTTAAGGTATACATAATAGAATTAACTTGAGAGAGTGTTTGGTTGTCAAGTCACTTTTTTTTCAAAAAAATATTTTCTTATAAAGTTATTTATGTATTTTTACACATTAATATTATTAAATATATATATATATATAAAAGTGACATTTTTAATTTAATTTTTTTATATAATTCTTAACTCATTAATTTTTCTTTTTATTTTAAAAAGAAAATATTTTTTCTCAACTTTCTTTATATAGTATTCACTTGACAAATTTTCTTATACTAATTTCTTACTAAATATAGAAAAATTAACAATCGAACAAAATTTCTCTATAAAACTTATCAATTTTTTATATAATACTGTCATAATAATTTTTTCAATAAAAACTTTTTTAATAACATTGGTTCTCAAATCAAAGAAGCCATGATTGTCTCAAAGAATTAATGTTATGAGATTAATAATGATACCAACATATTGGAGGGCTAGATTTCATCCACTCTATTCCTATGTTGAAATTTAAAAGGATAAAAGTTTTGCACTTATATCTAGATCTTGTTGAATGTCTTAATGATCGGGACCATGAATTTGCCCTTCACTCCTCTATTTCCATTTCCTTCATTATAAGTATCATTCATAACTATTAAAATAATACTTTAGGTGTCACATCAAGATTCTCTTTGTTTAATTAATGATTTTGTAATTTTCTTTCGTTGAGTTTTGACTTTGGAGGATTGATAAATAAAAGAAATCTCTATGTTGCAAAGTCTGTGAAGGTTCTTAGGTTAATGAACAATGATAGTTATTATAATATATAGGATGAATTTATAGTAACCATTGATTATGATGTAAGTTTTATAATTAACTGTTGAAGTAATTTTGTCTTAAGATTTTGTCTTAAAATGTTGTAGACGAATTTGCAAGAAATACTAAAGGTTGAGGACCAAGAGACATTTATTTACTCTGGAAAAGCAAGCAGAAGTTATGGCGTTGGGCCAAAGCGGGCTTTTTCCTCGCGCCAGCCCAAGTGAAAACCGGTGAGTTTTAAATAAAGAGTGGAAACCGGAGCGAATTTCAGGGAAAGTACGAGAAAGGAAACGGTTGGGCAAGCGAAGATGTCGAAAACGCAGGTGCAGCCGATAGGGCAGAAGAGACTGACGAACGTCGCCGTCGTCCGCCTCAAGAAGCGCGGCATGCGCTTCGAGATCGCCTGCTACAAGAACAAGGTCCTCTCATGGCGCTCCCGCGTGTAAGTCCGCTTTCTATTCCTCCATTGAACCAACAATTTCGTTATAAATCCAGCAAGTAATTCGTTGTTTCCTCTTACTGGATGTGATGATATTTGTGAAATTTTTTGAAACAGAGAGAAAGATCTGGACGAAGTGTTGCAGTCGCACACTGTATACTCAAATGTCTCGAAAGGGATTCTCGCGAAAACGAAGGATTTGGTGGCCGCATTTGGGACCGATGACCAGACGAAAATATGTTTGGAGGTAAGTGAAGTTCGATTCTGTATGATGTTTAGGAGTGGTTTAATTTCTTCGTTGGAAGGAATGGATTAACTGATAATTTTATGGATTGTAGATTTTGGAGAAAGGAGAGCTTCAAGTTGGTGGAAGGAGAGGGAATCTCAGTTATCTAGTCAGTTTCGAGACATTGCAACGATTGTTAAGCAGTGGAAGACATAAATGAATTTATAAGTATATAAAACCTTCTCATATAATTAGCATTAGCGATCTTTTTTAGCTAGAGAATTTTTATCTTCTGTGTTTCTTGACTGGTTTTGGCACTTGATATCCTCTCGGCACTAACTTTTCTTCTCTTTTATTCAACTTTGGTCATTCATATAACTCATCTGCTAGTCACCATTGCTGATCCATTATTGTACATTATGTTTATCCTTTTTTCATTAAACCTTTGAGATAGTTCAGTAGTCTCTAAAGAGTTGCATTCATCCACAAGTAACTCAGTTGGACAGATTGGACGATATTTAATATTTTGATGAGCTAGTTCAGTTTTTGAGCTTTATTTTCTTCTTCATGAAACTCATTTACATGTTTGATTTTGTACAGATTTGTGAGATTGATCCTGGTTTCTTTCGGGATAGTGATTCCCTTGTAAGGAATTGGCAAGGCAGGTTGGAAATACTTGCAGTGTCAGTACATGCAGAGGGTGATACCCATGTTGACAATTATGATGATCACGAGGACTTGCCATCACATCTACCCAAGGAATCTGCTGATTCTATGCCATCACATTTATCCAAGGAATCTGCTGATTCTATGCCATCACATTTATCCAAGGAATCTGCTGATTCTATGACGTCACGATTACCAAAAGAATCTACTGACTCTGTGCTCCAACTGACTGAAAAAATGAAGAAACAGACTATCTCCTCTGGAAATGGGAATACTGAGGGAGAGGTCAAGCAAAACAAGTGCAGTACTTGCAACGCATTTGTGGGTGATTCTAAGCAATTTAGGGAACATTTCAAGAGTGATTGGCACAAGCACAACTTAAAGCGCAAGACAAGGCAACTTCCTCCTCTTACAGCTGAAGAATGCTTGGCTGATATGGAATTAGACGACTCAAAAGCTGACTTGAAGGATTATTCCTTTTGAATTTGAGTTGGGGCTCGGAATTTAGGTTTTGCGCTATAGATTATCACAGGTAACATAGAGCATTGTAAAAAATTTTTGTCACTTCCTTTTAGCTGTTGTAATGAGCTGCTTGCGAACTCGCTCGTAGAATTTACTCATGCAATGCAAATTCTACTAGTGTCAAATTTTTGGGGTATGCAATTAGAATTTTACTCATCTTGCATTACGCTTGTGGCCCCCTGTTCTGCTGTGCATGACTCAGGTCGTATCTGTCCCTGATTGTGCTTCTGACTTGTTTATCACTATGTTTCTGTATTTTCCTCGTCCCGAAGTTTGTTGTTCTACTTAAAACAGCCAAAGATGTATTCTAGTGACTAATTATTAGAAAATCATTATAATCACAATCACAAAAGATTTTGTAATTCAATGATAATTTTCCTTCAATACAAGTAATTGTACAAATAGGTTGAATAAAAAAATGCGTGAGAGAGTTATTTCTCTATTATGCAACTTAAATTAAAAAATAGAAAGAAATAAATGAAAGATTTACCAAAAGCAGAACTTAAATTCGACTTTCTAATTGTTGACTATTAGTGAGAACTAAAAGGAATACCCAATCATTGTTTTCTAACAGACGAAATTCTAAAAACCATTAAAAAAAATGAGAATGCAGCAAATTGAAGATTCAATTAAACTTTTGATATTGCTCTTTCAACAATAACCAGGGCAAGGCAGAGTTGTTTGCAGCAGCGGAACGTCCATAACTGTACAACGTCACCTTCATTCAATTTATTCCTCCTCACCACCGACGACCACCCTCTTGTTAACAAATAGGCCATGCCGCTGCCATTGCACCATTCCCTCAAACTTATACTACTTTCCTTAAGACATGGTTCCACCAGCAACACCCTCAAGTCGTCCTCCGAGTCTTTACTCTTCCTGTATTTCTCCATCCTCCGCAACTCCTCTGCTTTCAAGAAGTGAAGGTTACTTTGGCTCCGCGGAATCAAAAACCTGTTTTGGCCTGTAGCAATGTCAGAATTTTCCAGTTTTTTCTCTACTACAAACCTTACTGAATCTTTCCCATCGTAGCCTTCAATGTTCCTCACTTTGTTCATCATCTCAACCGGTAGTATTTTACCTTCGCCAATATCAACACCTACTTTCTCTTTATTTGACCTCTTCAGTTTCTTATCTTCGGCTGATTCCGAGCTCTGTCCGTGTTCATGGGATTTTTTTTGGCAGCAACCCCTTGGACCGTCAAGATTAATTTGTTGTTTCTTGTATTCTTCCATGGCCTGAATCAGCTTTTCTTCAGGGATTTGAATCAGCTTTTCTTCAGGGATTTCATGGCTGGCAAACGCCCTCATCAGCTCCATGATTTCAATATCATATTCATCTCCTGCAGCTTTCATGACAGCTTTCCATATTTTCTCATTCTTTACGTCGGACTTGTTCAACTCCTGCATCTTCGAAACCAGTTCCTCTGAATGCAGAATCTTCAATAAAGTCAACTATATACCTGAATATATACCTGTATCAAGAAGAATGGGACTGATCAAAGAATGAGGATGAATAGAAAAGAAAATCAGAATAGTATTAGATTTCCTGGTCCTGGTGGAATTAGGAAAAAACTTATAATTTCCTAATGGGATTTGAATGAATGAATAACAGAGCCTGTTCGGACTTCTAGACTTCTGTAAAATTTCTATTCCATTATATACTTATGATGATATATGCGTGCTAAATTATAAATAAAAAGACTATCAAATTGAAGGGTAAGATCTACTAATTTGAGCCTTCGGCTTTTAGCCTTTTAAATACAATAATTAAGTCCAGACTTCCAATCAGTTGTTGTTCAATAATCAATATGCATGCCCTCCTTTGATAACATATCTCAAAAAAAATATATATATTGGAGCCGAGATAGAAACATAGACTTGGAATTTTAAGAAGTGTGGGGAGAAATTTCACAAAGATAGCTCCCTTCCATGCAAAAGAATATAATATGATTCTAAGTTCCAGGAGAGTCACAGCAGCCAGCCTCATCTCCTACATATCCTGGCCAACATTCTTTTGTATTTTTTGATTCCTAATTGTTGAGTTAAACTCCTGTTCTTTGCTCGCACGTGGTCATGATCAGTTTGATCGACAACAATAATCGGATAATTTTTATAATACAATGTGATATTAAACCAATGAATATTATTGATTTATCAGTAATTCTCAAATAAAAAAAATTAAATATCCATGTAATATATTCATAATGCAAAATAGTACCATATATTAGATGAAAGAATTTCAATTTGACAATTTTCTACCACTTTAATTTTTTGTATTCCTTTTTTTTGTAATGTCATAAATCCTATATTAATGGAAAATTGTGAGTAAATCAAGTATATAAATATAAAAACTAACTACCATTCACAACTTAATTCTTGAGCTTTTGAGAGCCGACCTGGATCTAGCCGTTTTATTTCTACTTTTGAAAAATCAAATAAAAATGTAACTTATGTTCTTCTTTGATGATGCGTCTTAAGATTTCAAGGGGAAGGGCTAACTTTTTATATAATGAAAAATAAATAGGAGATAAATATTCATCCCAAAGCCATAAGAATACTAAATCAGGGTTTTCTAAAACACCAATTAAAATCAT